AAGGAAAGACCGCAGATTGCCATATGTTGCTTAGAATGATTAGGTAAATTAAAATGTCTAGCGACTGGTTTCGATGTGTCCTTGTCATTCCTTTCCACGTCTCGAAGGTGTTCTCGGAATCGGTCACCTAGTCTTCTGCCTGTTTCGCCGATGTATATCTTTTTGCAATAAGTGCAAGTTATGCAATAGATTACATTGGCGGAGGTGCACGTGAAGTGATCGGTGATCTTAATGGATCGTTTAGGTCCCGATATTTTATCAGTGTTGTGAATGAAAGGACACGTTTTGCATCGTGCACGAGCGCATTTAAAAGTGCCTGGTTGGTCATTAGTCTGAAAAGAACTTCTGACCGAAAAATTGCCTATGTTTTTGTCGCGTTTGAATGAAATGAGCGGAGGCTACGAAAAGATAGTGCTTGTCTCTGGATCGTTTTGAAGTAATTTAAAGTTTTTAAGAATGATGGATTTAACTGAGTGGTTGTGGGGGTGAAGCGTGAGAGTGAATGGAATGCGGTCGGAATTGTTTGTAGTGAGCCATGTATTAACATTGGATAGGTCGTGATTCATAACATCATTGATCATTTCTATGTTGTTACTAGCAAAGGTCAGGTGAGTATGGTCGGCATACATACGTGCAACTGAATTAGACAGGCAATTAGGAAGATTATTTATGTATAAAACAAAAAGCAAAGGTCCTAGAATTGTTCCTTGCGGAATTCCACAAGTGAGAACTTGACTAATTGAGAACGAACCATTTACGAAACATTAATTGTTAATTGCGATTATCTAGGTATGACCTAAACCATTTATATAAGCGATACCGCGGATACCATATTCGAATAATTTAGACATAAGAATTGTATGGTCAACGGTATCAAAAGCCTATTTTAGGTCGAGAAAAACAATTGCATTTATACTTTTAGCATATAATCAACTGCATTTAGACTTTAAGCATATAATCCAGCTTTCTCTGCCATTGTTTTCATAAGTGACTTGAGTTTGTTAACTCCCATGGGAGCTGACTTGAACCAAGGCTTTGTATTTACGGCTTTTGTAGTGTGATTGATTGCTAAATAAAATGGACTATCTGGAGTCTTCAGGGCTTTTGTAGTGTGATTGATTGCTAAATAAAATGGACTATCTGGAGTCTTCAGGGCTTTTGTAGTGTGATTGATTGCTAAATAAAATGGACTATCTGGAGTCTTCAGGGCTTTTGTAGTGTAATTGATTGCTAAATAAAATGGACTATCTGGAGTCTTCAGGGCTTTTGTAGTGTGATTGACTGCTAAATAAAATGGACTATCTGGAGTCTTCAGGGCTTTTATAGTGTGATTGACTGCTAAATAAAATGGACTATCTGGAGTCTTCAGGTCATCTGGTCGTTTAGAAGCATAGAGGACATAAGCACGGACAGGATCTCTTTCACTGCCAACGAAAGCAAAAAATTTTGGCTTTACAATACGAGAGTCTTTTGGATCCGCGCCTGTTCGTGTCTTCGTCTGTCTTTGTTATACTCTAGAAATGTAGTTCCGTCCGCTGTTTCTTTTCTTTCAACATCGCCCCATCTCATGTCCCTGTGCTCTTGACAACATCGCAATCCAAAGAACTGTGTGTTGTTTAACCATATAGTGTTAATAAGAGTCTGATGAAGTGCAACCGAGTAAATCTTGGCCATACAGAATATCAACTTCTTCTTCGGTTAGCATACACGCAGCGTTTGGTTTATTTGCTTTCCCTTCTTTCTTTAGTTCCTTTTGCCTTGCGACTATCGCTTCTTTAGTCTTTTGGAACTCCTTCCCATCCATAATGGTTGAGGAATAGTCTTTCTTTCTTATATAACAATCAAAGCTTGAAACAAAAGACCTGAGCAATGTAGGTTCGTATTACTCTCCGTCTTTCTGTCGGATTGCCACATCAAGATCTTTTGCATCAATATTTTCAATCTCTCTCAGCTCGTGCCTTAGAACTAAAAAATTTTTGAGCAATGAGACATCTCTCTGTGTTCTGCTTCAGGTGTTCTTGTCTTCTTGATGCCGTACAAACTCGAAAGCAACTAACTGACACAAATCTAGAGCTTTCCCCCGCCTTCGCCATTTTCGCAGGAAAAATTTGGAGGTGACGCCGCTAAAAAGCCGCCAAATGTGGAAAGCTTTTTGAATGTAAACAATGCACGATTGCGATTGGCTCGGAAAAGCCTTTACGTTGATTGGTTATACTTCGACACGTGAAAGAGCTGTACGCCATTCTGATTGGCTGTATTCTGATTGGCTTTTTTCACATGTGAAAATAAAGCGTATGGAGTTCTACAAAGGAGCTTTATGGAATAAAATTCTCGTGTTATGTGTAATAAAAGACATTACTACCTCGACATTATCCTTTCTCAATTTTCTATATGACTGTAACAGGACGACCCCAATCCTTACCTCTCTACTGTACGAAGAATGGCCCGGTGCAAATGCAAATAGATAAATTAAAGAGAAAAATCTCCAAAAGTGCTCGCCTACTTACAATGTAAATGTAATCATTTGCAGAAGGAGATCAGTCATAGAGATCAGTCACCAGTCATCATATTGTTAAAAAAATATATTTTACAGTTGTACAGACAGGGTGATGTAAGCCGATATCACCTATTGCAACCATCACCCATCATACGTCTCATTTTCTACTATTGAACTAATTTTGTTTAAACGCGCTGAGTTATTCATATCGAAGATTTGCGAAGTTACTAACAGTTCTCAGATACGTGTGGAGTAACCATTTGACGATCATGACAGGAAAAAATAAACCGGTTCAAGTCTGTCCACTCTGGTAAAGACTGTGCCAGACACATTTCTCAAGACTAAATTTTAAAATATCAAGGTTTTGCAGCCTTGGACTTTCAGGTAACGTCTGGGAAATCATAGGTATCCGACCGATTTTGGAAAGTGATCATTTATACATGTACTGCATAATGACACTGTTCCACGATTAAAAGCACGTGAAAAAATGATCGTATGACCATCACCGCGTGCTTTGCCTTACGTGCGTTTGCGAAGAAGTAGCTATTTGAGAAAGGAGTGACATTAATAAGCCAAAAGAGTACTGAAAGAGGAGGAAAACCAAAAAATGAAACACCAGCATTATTAGCAGGACAAAAATTTGACTTATTCATCTTTAAGACTATTTTTTCTGGAATTAGCAAGGAGAATACTTACTTTGTTTCTTGGAGCGGCACACAAAATATATTAGAACAAAAACCACCAGTAAGAAGAAAAAAACAACTAACAGTGAACCTGAAAAAAATGGAGAATTCAAATGTAGCTCAAGGTTATAGTGGGAAAATGCTGAATACTTAAGACTAATAGATCGCTTAAGATAGATCACATTTTTTGCACCAGAATTTACTCATGCATTCCGTACTTTTATTTAGTTCAGATCTTACTTGAGATTTAAGAGGTAGTTTTCTTCTTCATTCTTTCTATCCTATTTCTTTTATCACTTTTCTGGTGATGGTTAAGTTATAAAAAACAGGCAAAGCTTTTTAATCATTCGGCTACTATTAAAGTTGTTTTGGTATGTAACCTCTACCGAAGGATTCGTCCATATCAAAAATGAGTCTCTGATACATTGTCTGTAAAACTGTCTGTCTATAGACCGTTAGAACACCGTGATAGTGATAGAATAAAGGAGGCAGAATATATGCATATTGTTCTCGCGTTGTTTTTAGGGTCATTCACGTTCAAAAGTGAACACAAATTCAATCAAGCTGTAATTTATGGTGATTGCGCGAAAAAAAAATTGTTCACTTTTTGGACAGCACTGACAGTCATGGACGTCACTCAATTTAAGATTCCATCTGAAATCTCGCACAAGATGTCACGCAAGCAATTTTCTCGAATTAGGATTAAATAGGTAAACAACGTTGCCATGGGAAAATATAATTTACATTTTTTTTTATGTGGAGCCAGTTCCAAGAGCTTGCCTGAGGATAAGGAGACCATGGCCAAAAGCGCCTTGATCAGAAATGCTTAAAAATGCTGGTCTCGAACGCCATTAAATGAGAAGGCAACCAATGCTCATTATAAAAAAGAAAGAGATTCGCTTCAAGAAATGATGATCGGCCCATTCATGGGAAAAACCTCAAACCCTATCCATCTTCATATACATTTATATATAAGCGAAATAGGCAACGTAGGATCCATGACAGTGCTTGACAATGAAGGAGCGATTACAGTAGCAAATGGACTACTCAAGTGACGCACATATGGATTTTAATACAGCCTGTTTCGTAGACCAACAAAAGTTGATCCACTCATTAGTTAAACTCCATACACACTGAGGCATCGTGACGGTTAACTCTAACTCAGCAACGTGATCACATGACATTGTTTAAAAAATTCAAATCTTGAAAACCGTGCGCGCGCCGATAATAGCGTTAAGAATACCTGAGAATATATTTTCGCCGATGTCTACAATTGGATATTATTTCACTTCGCTTGTTTAAAGAGGCTTCATGTGGATAAGAACGAATATATGAGCTTGTTAGCTCAATTGGTAGAGCGCTGCACTAGTATCGCAGAGGTCAGTGGTTCGAGTCCCGTACAGGCCTGATTTTTTTCGGGTCTGATTAATAGCGCTTTCTACTGCGAGGATCGTGCATCATACGTATCTAATACCGCAGTTCAAAATATATGAACTTCATATATTCGTTCT